ACCTTGCCGTGCATGAGAGTGACCTGGCCATCAGGGTGGGGGCTTCGGACAATGGTATCGCCAAGTGGGCGGAATGGTGAGTGTGGCGACCAGAAAGGACCGAGAATCGTCGAGGAAGTAGGTGTCTCGCCAGACTCGTTAATGTGCATGTGGGCGATCTCATCGACCAGTCTACGAGTATATTAGTGGCAAGTTCTAACCATTCTACCAACTGTACTGCTTACGATTCTACTCCGAGGACATCAGAGATACGGTGCGCCTCGTTCCTGGTGTTGGTGGTGGTTTTGCCAATGGAGTTGACAAATCGTACACCCTCAAACCACTCGTCGTTGGTCAACTCGACTTCACGGATGAAGTCATGAAGATGTCTGATCAACTTTCCCATAACAAATCGTGTCCGGTCTGGCACCGCGGGTCCCATGGCGTTGATGACAGCATCGGTGAAGTTAGGGTCGAAGCGATGTCCGCCCTTATTTTCAAGGTTGGGCGCTTGCTGTGTACTTGGGTCCATTTTGGTTGTGTTAAAAAATGTGAATGTGCAAGAGAAGATATGTTATCAAGCAGGTTTTAGAGAGTAGAGTGGTGGTGGACTGCTTCTGACGTCTGGGGCATGAGTGATCTTAATAAATAGCATCTTGGAACCCACCGGATCCGCCAACCGAGTGAGCGCTGTTACAAACCGCCGTGTGTCTAGCCGCACATCAGGCGATGAAGCCTTGTCAGATGTAGCTACGGCATACTGCACCGGCTCTGAGACGGGCTGGGAGCATGAGGGGTCACAGTGCCGGGTTGGCCCATGGGGGTTCTTGGGTGACTGGCCAATCACAGCGAAGCTATCGGGGAAGAAGTCTTTCCCGCCGTTTATCCCTCATACTAAGCGGGGTCAGCGCTAGTGCCCCGCCCTCGGTACTGACCTCAAACATTTGGCTATGCGACACCATGCTCGAGCTTTTGTGGGTAGTCGGAAGTGGAACAGTAGAAGACGTCGGGGCGTCCCAATTCCTTTGTACCCTCCATACTACCGACGCACAAGTCGCTACTGTGAAAAGAACAAGCTCTCAATATGGTTAAGCACCACCTTATGATCGGCACGTGGACGCCGCCAGGTGTGATAATCACAGTCTCCTTCGACGATGAAACACTGAAGCTGGAGTTGGTGAAGAAGACCGAAATCCCAGAGGATGAACCGATCAGCTGGATGGCCTTTGACGTATGCGCACAACCCACGAGCCTTGATGCCGCCGGCAGTGACTGATCAACAACAACACAGCATCAAAGGAAGAACATCTACGGCGCATCAATGAAGAAATGGAGTTCACACGAGGTGAAGAGTCCGGACGAGATTGTGCACACGGGAAGCTTTCCAATCGGCGGACATCGTATGCAAATTCTGGACACCCTTACGATTACTTGCTGACAGGTGTGATAGCCAAAGCAAACGATACCGACACAAAAACACGCGCCATATTCCTCCTTCCCGCGAAAAAGCCGCCGTACGCCGTATACTGCAACCCGTTTTACGACTACGCTGGCTATGGCAACATCTTCTCTGTCAACTCCTCCGGACACATCAAAGAGAACATCCAGAATTTCGAATACTGCGAGAAAACCGCAATTCATGGCATGGTCTTCGACCCCTTAGAAACCTACCTTTACAGCGCAGATATGTGGGCGAACCGTGTGTGGTGTCACAAGAAGATAGATGATGAAGGTAGGGTAGAAACAGTAGGCTTCACTGAAGCGCCGGCTCCAAAGGACCATCCCAGATGGGTAGAGATGCATCCCTCGGGCAACTACCTATATGCCTTGATGGAAGGAGGAAACCGGCTGTGCGAGTATGTGATTGATCCAAAGACCAAGCTACCAATCTACACTCACAAGGTGTATCCCTTGATACCTCCTGGTAAGCGCTATACTCACCGCCCAGCAGATTCACCGCTAAAATAGGCACCTTAGGTATCCCCAACGCAGACACAATGTACCGATCAGACGTCTGCTTCCTGAACAAATCCGGCAATTACCTCTTCGCTACGTCTCGGTCCAACTCGTTTGATCTCACCGGTTACATTGCTGCTTTCAAAGTCGCCCCATCGGGCGCGATCGAACGACAGATTTGTCTGAATCCTACACCAACTTCTGGTGGGCATTCTAATGCAGTCTCTCCGTGCCCTTGGTCGGATGAGTGGCTCGCACTTACCGACGACGAGAAGGGTGGAATTGAGATTTACAGATGGCATGATGAATTCCTTGCAAGAGTTGCAAGATTGGAGATTGGAGAGAAAGGGTTTGGTATGAATGCTATATGGTACGACTAGTTTATATAGGGCGAAACAAGAATGCTATAGCAATCCAGGAATTTTGTACAGCATCGAATGTCACTGTGCACCATGGAATGAGTTACCCTTGATTTTTCCCATGCTTCAAGGAAATGGCTTGGCGCCTTGGAGGATGAGGGGGATAAACTCTAGCTGACGTGTGATTCGTGTGGGCAAGCAGAGAAAAGACGCATGCCGAGTGTGCTTTCCCTGCTGCAGCCGAGTTGTGACCGGAAACGTGGTGAGAAGTCTTGCGGATTTATGTTCAGCCACGGAGGAATGAGGGGCAGCGCTGCAAGTGTTTTGCCCCCAGTCTAGCGGCAGCCGGCAAATGACATCGGGGAAGCTCTTCTCCCCCCTCCAACTTGGTCATGGTCCGCACCACGGCATTGTAGTTTAGATCAGGTTAACGTTCGCTGAATTCAATACCAAACTTGCAAAATCCTTCTCATCATCTGTCCTCTATTTCTGCTTGTATTCCAAACACGTTCAACGACAAAAGAACGTCGCAGACTTACTACAGCTACCCCACACTAGCAAGACAGAATGGCGTCCAAGTCAACACCAGGCATTTTGTATGTGACTATGCAGCCCAAACAGGGTCTTCCAGAAGCACAATTCCACGATTGGTAAGTTGACCCTTTAGATAGTCGAATTCTGGCTTCGTCAAGATCCCATCTAACCTTTATTCCACCAAGGTACCAAAACGAACATGGTCCCAACCGGCTCCGCCTGCCATTCTGCAACAATGGTTTTCGCTACCGCGCAACTGATCTCGAGAGTGCGCCGGGATCAAAAGATAAGCCTGAATGGATGGCTATTTACGACTTTGACGAGCTCGAATGGCTGACGAGGGAACCATACCTGAAACTTCGCAGTGCGCCGGTGCAATCGCAACGGGAGAGAGATACTATGAAGCAGATTTTCGTGGATAGAAGATCTTACGACCTGCTTAAGGAGTGGAAGGGCAATGAATTTAAGGACTTGCAAAAAGTAGAGAATGAGGGCGAGAAGAACGTCATGATTGCTGTGAGCTTTGCGTTGCAGGATGGCGCAGATAAAGAGGAGGAGCTAAAGAAGTGGTACGAGGAAGAGCATGTACCGCTTCTGCAAAAGGTTCCCGGGTGGAGAAGGACAAGGAGATTTGTTACTTCGTATCTGGACCTTGAAAGCGGACACAAGACGGAGAAGGAATATCTCGCGCTGCATGAGTATGGACCGCAGAACGGGCTTGGAGGACCAGAGTTCAAGGCGGCTATTACAACAGAGTGGTGTGATAAGATATACAAGGACGTGGTCAAGGACCGGAAGAGGAGGGCGTACGAGCTGTACTACACATTTGGTGCTGCACAGCGTGATCTACAGAGCCTCGCAAGTAAAGACACATTTGGCGTAGAGACAACAGAGGGCAAGGTGAAGACGCACCCGGCACATACTACGCCCGAACAACGACCAGTGATAGAAAGCTTCCTCACAACAAAAGACGGCGTCGAACTCCCCTACCGACTCGAAGGTTCCAGCGACCCCAACGCACCACTGCTCGTCCTCGCAAACAGTATTCTAGTCGACTACGGCATCTGGGACGAATTCGTCACCGAGTTTCTCAAACTCACAAACAACAAGTACCGCATCCTGCGCTACAACACCCGCGGGCGCAACACCCTACCTGCAGATTCCACATGCCCGATTACCGTGCACACCCTCGCAGAGGACGTAATCACGCTTCTCGACGCCCTCCGCGCCAAAACCGCCGCAATCGTCGGCGTCTCGCTCGGCGGCGCAACAGCACTCAACGCCGGGCTCTCCTACCCAGGCCGCATCTCCGCCTTCATCGGCTGCGACACCAACGCCTTTGCGCCCGCCACCAACGCCAAAGCGTGGAACGAGCGCGTCCAGGTCGCGGAAAAGGAAGGCCTAAAAGCGCCATCTGGCGAGCCCATTGTAGGCGAGGAACTCGCAGAGGTCACGGTGCGCAGGTGGTTCGTCAAGGAATCCTACGACGATGCCGAGTTGGCCAAGAAGATCCAGCGCGTCAAGGATATGGTCAAGACGAATTCGCTACCTGGGTTCCGTGACTCGGTCAAGGCGCTGCATGAGTATGATATTAGGGAGAAGATGGCGGCGTATCAGGGTAAAGGTGCATTCTTGGTGGGCGCCGGCGATGGCGTGTTGCCCAAGACTATGAAGGAGAATATGGCGGATAAGCTGGGGAAGGGTGTGGAGCTCAAGGTTATAGATGGTGCTGGACACTTGCCTATGGTGGAGAGGCCGCGCGAGGTTGCGCAGTTTGTGGCTAGTTTTCTAGAGGGTTAAGGAAATGCGGATAGATACATGTGTAGGTTGGGTTTCGAAGAATACGACCTGCCTTGGAGAAGTTCGAGTATATTTTGGAAAAGAGTGTTGTATCCTGGTATTCTTGTGTCTTGGTTTTTAAGAAGAATCGTATACACAACCGATGTTCTCGCCGGTGGACTATCACGCAGTCATCAACCTCATAGTGCTTTACTTTCTCACCAATAGCATTACTTGAGCGATGAATGTCTTCTAATACCCCTAGTAAAGCCCTGTTCCACACACACACACACACACACACACACCTTACCTATCCTCTCTACCATCCGTCCAGCTAGTGCAATTCACGCACCGCTTCGCCTTCTCACTAATATACTTCCTACAAAACTTGCACTTGACCTGCCTCTTGACAATATTGTCGCCGCTGCCCCTGCTATAAGCCAGCGCAATGACCCAAAGCGCCAGCGCAACAATAAAAAACCTTACCATCTTGTCGAGAAAATTGCCGTATGCAAGCACGACAGCACCGTCATCGACCGCCTGCTTCGGCGTATTGTAGCCATTTGAGATGGAGGTATTATAGTTTGGGCCGTGCTGCAGGACGGCAAACTTGGCGTCGAGGTTACGCGAGAGGAAGGGGAGGAGTGAGATTATAGGCAGGATGATGTCGGACACGAGAGCATTTGCGCAGGCGGTGAAGGAGGCTGCGAGACTGCGAGGGGTTGGTGGCCAAATGTTAGTATACCTGTTATAGTGTACACACACATACTAGGGGGGAGGCGCAAGCGATCGGGCCATTGAGAGAGAAGGATTTTTTTTAATAATCCTTGCAAGAAAAAAAGGTAACACTGTACATTAAGCCGACGGCTACTTCGAGCACATTATCGCGAAGCGCAAAGTTGCTGAAGCTATCCCAGGCGTTGAATGTGTGGCGCTTGATGCCCTGCTCGGCATCGCGCAGGGTTTGTTGTGTGTTGTCATCTAGGCGTGGCATGATGGCGTTAGGAATAATGGTGGCGACGTTTGGAGGGAGGTTGGGTGCATGGGTATACTACTACGAAGAAAGGGAGAGAAAGCTGGGGTTACTTTGGGTAGCGACGTCATGGAAACCAGGAAAAAGCTCCGACCAATCACGATATTATCCGCTCTGCTGGGACACGACACCCCATACCACTGACAACGCACACGCATCCTTACATGCGCACGCACGCTCATTCCACCTTGCACCATTTTTTTTGCAAATCCAAAAAACAAATGCGATTGCGTGTTTAATCTTCGTTTCGTCATGGAAAATGTTAGTTAAGTGTACTTATGAATAGCAAATCCCCTCTCAACCCGTACTAGCTGAATCATCGCAGCTTTGCCTAATGCATCTAGAAGACCACTTTTTTTCCCACATGGATGTAGATCTCTCTCCCTCGTGCGTGGGCCTTGCTAGCGATACGCCCGAGGGGTAAAGTGTCCTAAACTTTTTTTACCCTGCGTTTCGCCATAGGTTAGGCGGTTGCAGCGCCACGCAAGACATCGCGACCATCTGCGCGCAATCGCATCCTTTGTACGCAGACCAGGACACACCCTCATGCACACATAGATTCTATCATCTTCTCTCGTTGTGCACCTGAGCCACGTACCGGGCGTGCATGCTAGTCTGTCTTGCTGCATGCAGCCACTTCTGAACATGCAATTGAATGTAGTCGTAGTCCACCCCCACCATTCGGCCCTTTTTTTCCAACGACCCTCATTCGTCAAAAAAAAAATCACACAGGACGCGCACTGCTGTGTGAGGCGTACTGGTACGTACATGCGGCGTAGTATATACATGAAGTCCGCCATCGGCGTAGACTACCCCGCCACTACGCCAGCCTCGTCTCTGATCAGAGAGAATAGTTAGCTTAGCCGACGCCGGCCCGCCCATCATGGCCGTGTGATCACGCATTGCCCTTCCTGGACGGACTAAGATCGCCCGTCTCAGAAGAAGGGTAAGAAGGGGGGTGAGAGATAGTACTGAGAAAGAAAACGCAGGGTCTCGGATGCATGGACATGACAAGTGGTCAGCTCAAAGTCAGGTCAAGAGACACACAGTCAGGGTAGATCTCATATCTGCTCGCCTAGCGCTGGGCGCGATACTCCATCTCCGAATTTTCCGCGTCGGAGGTCGGTGATTGGGTCGTCGTGGATAGCATTATGCCGGCAGCTATCATTGCGCAGCGGCTGAATGGAGTCGTAAGTAGGTGCGCGGCCGGCGGGCAGGTCGGAGCATCTGTGGAGCATCACGATGAGGATGGGCGCTTTGTGGGTGTGCACGGTGCTGGGTGCCGCTGGTCTGGCAAGACAGTGGAGGTTTGGGATAAGGGCGGTAAGCGCGCGACGAAGGGGATTTTTGTGGTGGATGGAGGGGTAAAAGGGTATCGGGGGCTGCGCCGTGAGGTCACGGCACCTTGCACTTGCTTAGCGTGCAGCACTAGTGGGGGCTGGTGTGGTGGGGGGATCCTGGATCGCAAATGTGTAGCCATCAGGAGATTGATTTTCACCCCCAAGTGGTGTCAGACGTCCACTGGGTGACGCGCCCCCGTGGTGTGCACCGAAATTGCACGAAAATGCTCGAAAGAGGGGAAGCCTGTCGGCTGCAAGACAGAGCATGCTTGAGATACCATATTGATTTTTTGCGTCTCTCTATCTGGCTCATTAGATCCGATGCTGCTTCTGTTGCGCAATCTGGAAAAGAATAGGTGTAAATGCTGACAAGTAAACGCCTCCCGATGCAACTTCCCCTGACAAAACAGTCCCGTGGTATACCAAAAACGCCTTGGAATGCTGTGCGCGTGTGCGCTGAGAAACAAAAAAAGCCACCAACACCGTGCAATGCTAGATAATCAAAAAACAAAACACCCCCCTGCTGCTCCCTAATGCTGATGCTGTAAATGTCATGTATGCAAACTGTCTCTTCTTACTCAGTCTTGATGCAGGTACCTTTGCCATGCCTTCCCCCTTGTTCATCTCGACATGTCGGTCACTGAGTCTGCCCTTGCTCTTGACTTTGACCTTGTCGATGACCTCCGGCGTTCGGCACCATCCTTTGCTTTTCTGGTTTTTGGGCGACGGAGCACAGGGCCCTCGTCCTCTTCGGACTCGTCTACAGTGAAGAGATCCGGGCTGGGTTCTCGCCAAGAGTGGCGATGGCCGGAGAGTGTACGTGAGTAGCGGCGACGATTCTGTTGCTTGCGAGCAGCAAGGTCCTGGGCACGGCCTCGACTAGGCTCAGCAATGCTGCTCCTTGATGGGCTAAGCTGAGACACCACATGGGGCGTGTCGTTTAAGCGTTCGTCATCAAGCCCCATGAAGGACTCTTCGTCGTCCTCGTAGATGGTTGGCACGTGATAGACGTTGTGGAGCGGGGCGTGGTTCTGCTTGACATAGCGAGCCCACCTGCCAGCGACGTTGGACCTGAACTTGGTCGTCTTTGCGGTGCGTGGTCCCTCGTCGGCATCGATGCCGGCGCTCAGAGACAGCTCGTAGGGATCCTCAGCGTCGGTGATGGGGGTGATGAAGTGGGCAAAGGGGTCCTCGTCGATGTCGGGCAGATGGCTGGAGTCGTCGTCGGACGTCTCGACCCATGGAGGGAAGGAGTAGGCGCGGGGGTTGGAGCGGAGATAGGAAGGCATGGCTGATAGGATGTCCTTGATGGATCGGAATAGGCAAGCGAAGCGGAGTGGTAGTGGGGGCTTTGAACTTTTTTCAACCTTGACTAAGGCGACGTGACAGAGAATCTTGTCCTCCCGGCTCCGTGCCGGTGGTGGTCAAAGAAACAGCGTGAGAGCACTCGTTGTAAGAGGGCTCGCAGCTGGAGGCGCAAGCAGGTGTTTTTGTAGTCGGAGCAGCTGGAAGGGGCACACGCAGGGGGTATATGCGTGACTTGGGCGCACGTCTCGGAAGAGTCACAGGGAGGCGGAGTCGCAGTGCAGCCTGGGGGGACAATGGGGATACAGATGGTGCCTTGGGGGATGGGGGATGGGGGAAGGACACAAAGGTAGAGAAGTGGTGATTAGTATGGGCCCGTGGTGTTTCCTCCGCAAGAGTGCCGGATGGGTGAATGGCGTCCTGTCGAGGATAGGCCGAGTACTTATGTTTGACAGGCCGCGATGTGGTGCCGCAAGAGGAGCCCTGCAGGTGCAGTGCATATGGCTGCGGGCTGCATTAGCGTGGGAGAGGGAGAGAAGCTTGGTGCAGCGTGGACAGAAAAGGCAAGGATTCCAGGGCCATGGGGAATGGCTGACAGGCAGAGTGATGGCTGACGGGCCACATGAGATGGTTGGTGGCACACCATCGCGGTGAGGGATGACCTGCAGCCTGCACGCGTGCATTGGCCACTGGATGTTGCGGACGACACGGCCGTTAATGCAGGATTGTCGATCGCGATGCCGACGGCGACCCGCCAGAGGCCGAGCTAGGGCTTGAGACTGCCCAGCGCGATCGTACGGCAACTGTCGACTTGCTCGTCGCAGCGCGCGGCGAGCAGGCGAGTGCGAAGAATCGTCTACAACATACCGCTGCCGTACTGACATGGTGGAGCAAAAGCACCACCACGACCACTACCAGCGGGGCACACCCACAATGCCGTCACCATCCACCACCACCATTTCATTCTCACTCAGCCTCACTCGGCCTTGCCTGCTTCGGCTCTGCCACACGTCCTCTCACACACCCACCCACTCTGCCCTCGCCAACTAGTTTTACCTTCCACTACGCGCCCCCCCCTACGAGCATGACGAGGCTGGCTGCGTGAACCTTCGTTCGGTGCCTGCAGCCGACACCACCATCATCACGCCGCCAGTCACGGCGCGGTTTGGCAATACCTGCTTCTCCCATTGTGCGCCTGGTTTCGGCCAAGTGCCTCCTCCAGCTGATGCGGCTCCAATACACCATGTCCTGCACTTGACCTCTTCTTGCCATGACACTCGCCACACGCTTCGGACGCCAAAGTAGTCGTTTGCTAATACACGACCATATGATAATGACACGCTGGGATATCGCGGCTCTCCAGCCCTGGCTCCACTCCCAGTCCGCCAATCTCGATATTCGCTTCGTTGCTATATTCCTGCATTTTCTAACCCACCCGGCCTCGTGCCGGCCTTACTTTTCTTAGGTCCCCTCAGGCCTGATACCCATCTGCCCACATGCAGCGCCATGGGCCCGCCGGGCACCTCGCAAGTGCGCAACACTGCTCAAAACTACGTCATTGCCAAAACTGCAACTCTTGCACCATCCGACCATCGCCGTGTTGCCATGATTTTTTATTTTTTTCATACAGAGCCGTGCATCGCCGTTAAGCGCGCCAGGCTGACCTGTGGCTCAATACTTGACTCAGCAGTCTATCCCACCCATTCCTGCGTCACCTGGACCCTGTTACCGCCTGACGGCACACCATGGCCTATTCCAGCAACTGTGAACTTCATGCTTTCCCACTCGCTTAGATGAACAAAGGCGGCCTGAAGATCTCACCGTCAGCTCTGGCGAGCACCTCCGCTCGCACCAAGGCGGCCTGTCCGGCTCTGATGGCGCTGCAAAGTGGACGAATCCCAGTCATGAGCGCCTCGGTAGACAGAATCGCCAGGGCACTATCCTCTTTCGAACCAAATGGCACGCGCAACAATCACAGCTACGCTTGTATTTGGGATAGTTCAGCTCTTACCGTGATTGCTGCGACGAGATTGGATCCATGTAAAAATAAAAGCAAACACTTTGCAGTAGACATGGGAAGCCGGCAACGCCGATCGGGAAATAGCCATCTTGGTTGCCTCTAAATTAGTATGCTCTTAGTTTACACACATCTCTGCCATACTCTAGCCACCTCCAGACTTGAACCTTGCTGTCGCCATCACTATCGCATGGCTCACGACCTTTCAAGAGTCGAATGTTACTGCTTCGGGTAGACTATACCTTTACAAAGCGTGACACTTTGCTTTTGCGCGCTAGTGCTCTAGTCTACTCAAATCGACCGATGGACCATTTTTACACGGACAAAATGTCTAGTACCTACTGCCAGGCACAATGCAGCAGTAGTTCCCGAAATTGCGAAAACTAATCGCCCTCCAGTCCTTCAACGTCGTTGAGCAGAGCGTATTTCGGGATAACTTTCACCGCCCTACACCGCCCTTTGGGCGTTAATTCACGACAGGATCGACGCGCCCCGCGTTCGGGAGCTAGTCGTCGCTAGCCTACAATGAAGAGCAGGGTCTCCCAAATCTCAGCATTGCCGCTCCGCGACAACAACACCATGGCAGTGGGGCTACATGTTTGTAATACCCATTTTCAAGTTCCTTGGAATAACCCGGGCTAGTCTCCGCTTTCCTGGCGTATAATTCGGCTCTTCTATGTCATCTTGCCCTGCGTTTCGTCGGAACACGAATCGCCATTGGGCGCATGTTTCATACGAGGCGCTCACCGCCGTAGTGGAATCGTCGCCAAAAACGTCGGCAGTCGATGCCAGATTCAACGCGCATGCCGATACACCCAGTCAATCTCTTGCCTCTCTTGCCTCTCCTGCAGCTCCTGCATCTTCTGGCACATTTTCCCAACGACTATGCAGGAGGCAGCTCTGTGGGGTAGGATGTAACGCGCATCCTACCAAGTCCCTGCCTGTCGGCATTGTATGTAGCATCTGCACAAGGACAAAAGTAGTCGCAAGGCGAACTTTGCATGACCTCCCCACATTTGTCCGCGGATGCGCGCGCGTACTGTGTAGAGTACTAACCTACTGCCCAACACTTTGACCAACGCCCTCTCAAGGCCTGATGAGGCTCTCACCGACTACGTCACTCTACCCGTTGCTTGAGTCCTGCGCTACAGTTGGCACAGGCAAGCGCACACTCAGGCACCCCATTACCAACCCCATCTTGACCCATCCTAGTGGTTGGTTTTTTTGCCCCAGTGAACAACAAAAGCCATCACGCGGTTGGCAAAAGAACAAGTCCCCGAAGACCGCGATCGTCAGGTTCAACAAGAAAAAAATCAGGGAACAAATGACTTAATAGCATCGCTGCGATCGAGAGAGATCTCCTGCTTGCGCGTATTGTGTCGCAGAAATTCCTTCTTCTTTTGAAGAAATTCAGCCAACGAGCGACAGGAGCGACAGGAGCATCACGAGCGAAACCGGCCAAATCGAAGATCCTGTCGCATACAAAAAAGAAAACAGTGCTAATGGTCGATTAAACCCCGCATGGCGCAATGAGATGTATGCATCAAAAAAGTATTAGCGAGGCGAACGACTAAAAAAGTGGTGGGGAGCCGTGCTGGTTGAGCGAATATCACCACCTACTTTGATCCTGGTGCGTACAACACCATAGTCCTAGTCTGTCTCTCAACAAAAAAAATGCAGTGTAGTGTATCGTAGTGTATACGAAAGCAGCAGCTGAGAGAGAAAAAGAGAGTACGCGCATGTGGGGCCACGCCTGATGAACATCTCGTCTCAGAACATCACTCTTGTTTTTTTCTCTCCAAGCATCAAAAAAAACGCTTCATTACATACAACTATGCAAAGTAACAAGATGATGATAGCTCAATCCCAGTCATTGACGCCAATGTCATGTCCACACCACATACCACACCTACACAACCCACCCTCCCTCCTCCCTTCCTCCGCTTTAGAACAAGGTTAGTCGAAAAAAACAAAACGCCGGGAACCATGGGGGGGTATTAAATCATGAGCAAGCAACACAAGGCTACTCCTAATACTACGAAGGGATGCCAATTTCATAGCCCAGCATGACCTCTGTCGACGCACCCTCCCAGCCCCTGTTGCCGCCCGTAGAAATCATAAAGTTGCAGACAGGGTCGAGATAGAGCTGGGAAATGAGGCCTGTGCGATGGCCGGGCACGATGAAAAAGGGAGTCGCAGCTGCACCAGTTTTGGTACCAGAGTCTTCGTGCGTGAGGTCATAGAGACGGAGAATGTCGTATGAGGCGCTGGTTAAGCATTTCTGTTAGCACGCATGACTTTTTTTTGGGTGGAGGGAGGGGGGCAGAAAGAGGTGTACATGTGACACGATATGGAGTGAGGGTGGGGAGAAGGGGGAGGGACTAGGTTTCTCCCTCTCTTTCTATGTTGACTTACCATACGAGATGTTTCCCATTAGGCATAGCCCGGACAGCGCTGACAGGGCCACTGACGCTAGGAAACCTGAATGTCCGTCTTGGCTCTCGCAGACTCTTGTGGAGGCTGTATTCGTCCACGGTACTGTTTCTCCTGCATGCATAGATGAAGTTGCCATCGGGAGACCAGCAGGCATTCATGCACCACGGGGGTGTGTTGCGCGGTGGTGTGATACGTGCGACGGGGTTGGGCTGCCGCCTGTCCCAGATGCGCAGTGTGCCGTCCATGGATGCATCTACAAAGGTTGTCTCGGACGATGCCGGCTGCACAGTCTGGTTTGCTGATGTGTTAATGGGTCGCTCAATGTCCTCTGCGTGAGGTAGTCCATTGGCTGCGCCATTTGACTGTGAGTCGGCTGTGCCATCTGCGTCTGGCATTGCCTCAGTCACTGTGGTAGGCTCTTTTACATCTTCACCTGTAGGCTCCTGGGGTTCTTGGACAGGGCCGCCCATGTCCACCAAGTCTAGATCGGCATTGACATCTTCATCTGCCTGCTGTATGCCATTTGCTATGGCTCTTGAAAACTCGTCGTCATCGTCCCCGAATGAAGGCAGAGTTGCTGATAGGCTGTTCTCTTGGCCACCATCGCCAAATAGAGAGTCCTGGT